CATGGCAACAACACAGAAGGTGTCATTCTGTTTCTTTTGTGATGCACATTTGTGGTGCCAAGTTTGAAGAACACTGCTGCAATATTTCTAGAGATATTCTTGATTCAGTGTTTTACTGTTCAAGTGGAACCACCCATGACATCATCACTTTCCTCATTTGCATAATACAAAAACGCAAATATCTCTAGAACGAAAAAAGATATTCCAAAAAGGGAAACGCCATTCTTCTTTAATTTGAAAAGCCTTTCAAATAAGCAGCAATTATTTTTTTACTTCATAGGCACTTTAAGGAAGAAAGGAAAAAATTGATTTAGTTGTAAATAAACAAATTCAAAGGAAATGTAAATTACCTTGATTGGCATTTAAAGCAAAGAAGGAAGTCGGGGCACTTATAGCAGCAAAATCGTCTCCCAAGTATAAAACCTTTACAATCACCACACTTGAATCTGAAACAATGGAACATGAATCACAATATTAGAGCTTGTAAGCTTGAACATGGCATTTCAGCGAGTCGGTCGGAAAGTCGATCGGTCGGTCGGTCGGTCGGTAGGTCGGGCAGGCAGGCAGGCAGGCAGGCAAGCAGGCAGGCAGGAAGGCAGGAAGACAGGTGGTGGGCGCAAAAGAAGTTTATTTCAAACAAAAAAGGCATAGTATTAGGACATTTAAAAGGCCTATAGAACCGAGCTATTTTCCCTTTGGCCTTATCTTGAAAAACAATGGCTATCATCTGCTAAAAAGTAGTCACAAGAGTCATCCAAAACAATGCCATGTTTTATCATTAGAACTAGCAGGCTGACATTATGTCTGCAACTACAAATGTGCCATTTTGGTTTTGTTTTTATATTGAAGCTATTTTTTCGCTTTCCCATGCGCTCTTTTCGTTTATTACACAAGTTACTTTCTCCTCTTTCTTCCTTTTTCTTTCAAATATATATATGCTCTTGGAGGCATTTGGAAGCAGTCATACAATATAATAAGAATATAATAAATAGCAGACAGAAGCTAACGGCTTAAAGAAACACACAATGAGACCATGGTGACGTAGAGCCTAAGTTTGTTGTTCCGCTACACATTTCACTGGCTATTTTTTTGGCGAGTTGAAAGATTTTTTACTCACACGATATTTATTCACTGAAATTCTCTGCCATTGGAATCCCCGAAAAAACGTAATGTGGTCAATTTCGTGTGGCCTACACAGACACCTCTGGGATATTAAATTTCCACGTCAATTCTCAAAACGCTTGTATCCTAATCAAAAGAACTTGCAAAGAACTCGGTGATATAAACACTTTTAAGACCCTATAATATTCCCTGGTTAGATCCAATTTGGAGTATTGTTCAGTTGCCTGGTCCACCTTCACAAACAGAAATATGGATAAACAAGCGAGAATTCAGCGTAGGGCAACGAAGTTTATTCTAAAATCTGATGAACTTATGATGTTAGGTTAATAAAGAAAGCGTAACAAAGGCCCTACCTTTCTGATATCACATTTTTATTTATAATCTGATGGTCTTGACCTTCTTTTTTCAAACTGTAATCCTTGAAACCTTCCTTGCCTTTCTCACCCACAGTAAGGAGTGTCAGATTAAAAGTCAACATTTTAAAACAAATCCTTTAATTCAATGTTTCTAACCGCGAAAGAGTTACCGTATATCTTCTGAGCCTAACGATTGGTCCATAATTTGATGAACGACTGTTAAGTTTCCTAGGAGAAGTGTTTTTAAATGAAAGGTTGCGTGAAGACTCACTCTATTAATTGATGTGGCCGTGTCAGTGTATTGAATAATGTAAAAGTCTGACATGGTTTACATGTAAAGCACTCTTCAACGCTTTATAAGCTTCATAGAGTCGTGATCAAGGCATCACCGCTTGAAGGGAAAAATAACCTGATTTCTTATATTACTGGTTCATTATTTTAGCCAATTTTAGGCTCACAGGTGTAAATGGTAGCAAACCTGAAAATAATAGTTTAATAAGAGAGAAAAACACCAAAGAGATAATGATAAACCGTAAAGGAACAAGGATGGCTAAGGATGGAGAAGATTAACACAGATCAAATACGCAAACCGTGACGTAGCTTCTTTAAACTTACCTATGTTGTGTCCTTGATGATTCGTGTGATTTTACAGGGTTGCAGACGTTCCAGTGCCGGTTTGAGGCTTTTTCTGGGCTGGATCATTTTTCACTCAAAGAAGCGCTTCTTCGGGTGAAAAACCACCCCGTCCAAAAAGACGCCCTAATCGACCGTTTGGTCGCCTAAAACACTGTAAAATCATAAACGACAAAAAGACAACATAGTTCAGTTCAAAGGAAAACTTGATTTCTAATTTCCCACATTTTTAAGTGCCAGAGCGAAAGCCGAGGAGGGACTTCTGACTTCTGAATTCCGACGTCCACCTTCCGACTTCCCACTTCCGACTTCCTACTTCAAAATTTAAATGATCGATCAACGACGTGCAACTTATTTCCCTGGAAATCAAGTCATATTTAACCATACTAGACATCAGATTTCGGGCCAGATTTCAATATTTGTAAAGTTAAGTTTCGGTAAGTTAATGTAATACTTATCATGTAAATCTAATTTCACTGAGAATCTAGGAAGAGATACTTTTGATTTGACAAACTTCGATGGCAACCCAACGGAATTGAATCGAAGACGTCGCTGAACAGAGATCGTAATGACCTGAAACTAACAAATTTTGTAGTGCCATAACAAATAGACGCTTACATTATTTATACACAGTTTAGCCGCATTTAGCCTGCCAGCCTTATTTTGTGTATTGGCGAGTGCAATCCTTAGCGTTTGGAATCGCTTTCCTCTGGTCGTTTTGTGCCACTTTACTAGCCCTTCATGTTGCGTTATTGAATAAAACATGGTGTCGCTTTTCTGAGATTTTCTGCGTTCGCTATAAACTCAAATGAAGAGACTCTAGTTCTAACTTCTTAACCCCTACAAGAAAGTAAAATTATCTTATATTCTTTTCCTTCTTCACGAAGAAATTTGTTGCACCTGATTTCAAACAACTAGAGCAGTGCATTTTTCCTCGAATGTTTAATAGGGACGAACCATCATTTTTCTGGGGGGTGGGGGGGGGGGGGGGG